TCCTTGGATATTTTATTACCTGAGTTTATCTCTGAAAGACTCAAGATCTTCAAACAGCATGAACATTTGAGGTTAATTCTATGATTAGCGTGTAATAGCAGAGGCTAATTCTCCTGCATCACATGACTGCAGAGAGTCTCAAATTCAGTAATACTCAGAATGGCATCTGTGGAATTTACACTTGAATCCTAAATTATATTTTAGTAACTAGCAATGGTGTATAGAATTGTTTTAGGTGGGTTTTTTTGTTTGGTTGTTTTATAAATTTTACTGTTTCATCAGCAAACACTAGAATCATCTTAAGACCGATGTCGCTTCAGTCCTATGATATAAAGCAAAACTATTTAACTCTCATAGTTTTTATTTACACCTTTTTTTTTTCTTTCAGCTTGACGTCATATATGTGGCAAGAGTAATCATATTTTAATTGCATGATTTCTCAAGCATTTAAACAGTTTTGTGGGTTTCTGTTTTCTTTTTTCCCCAATTTATTAATCAGAGTGCCTCATTCAAAATAAACAGTGAGGATCTTTATGGCACGAGCAACATAATAAAATTGTACAAAGCTTTTTTAATCACCTTAGCACCTTAACGCCTCTAATTTATATTCTCTGCACCCCCACTGGCATGAACTGACAAAATTACACTCAACTTAGTGCTATTAGAACCACACATAAGTACTGGTAAGTGCAAAATCTCTAGTTAACAACGTAAAAAAGTTCAAATGTTTTTTTGTGATGACAGAATTTTAGCATGTTAAAATAATTATAAGCTTGAGAAGAAGCTAATTTTTTGCTTTGGTTTTCTATTGTCCTTCACTATAATGTGGGAGACTCTAAGATGACCTGCAGGTTTTATCATTTGCTTTATGGACTTCTTTGAGACTGGGGCATGCTGTGCACAAATATAACATCTAGAAATTTTAGCAGCCAGTCTCCAAGAAGCATTGCTGACAGGTACAGAATGATCTTCTGGAGTCTTAATACCTGGGTGGATTTTGCAGAAAACAACAACAAAACCCCCTCTCTGACAGGACAGTCAGTATGTAAGTTAATATTTTATAGCTTTCAGCACTGCTGAATAATAGGTAACGTTATGTAGAAGTAACTATCACAAAACAAATCGGGTACTGTTACTCCATTCCAATGCACTGCAACTTTAAACACCCAATAACAAAGTAAAGCCCAGCAAATTTTACTTCATTAAGTCTGACATGAAAACTCCTTATACTTTCACAGAGACCATCTTTTCCAAAATTAGTTACGAGCAGCAAAATCAAGAGTACAGAGAATTATATAGTGTTCATATATTAAAATATACTTTCTCCTTTAGCTTATAAATTAATGATTTTTAAGCTGATCATGTTTGAGGGGGGCAATTGTCTAAACACTACTCACAAAAATTCAAGTTACACTTACATTCATATACTTGTATTCCTCTATGCAATAACTGATGGAGAGTAACAGAAAGGTTTTGCATCCTTTTTGATGCACAATGGGGTAAATACTGCATATACATGCATTTGAGCTACATTCTAGTGACACGTTTGGAGATCTTTTAAGTGTTGAAAAAATTACTTCTGTGAACATTTGTGCTAGGTAGTTGCTTGAAGTAAGGTTTTAAAAGTCTAAGTGGATAGCATATTAACAGTGCCTGTCTAAATGTGGTCAGTTCAAACAGCTTCAAAAGTCATGGTAAGCTTACTCAGAATAACTTTTTTTTATGCTATTACCTCTATCAATAGAATGTTTTTGCAGTGCAATTGCTCAAAAATAAGTCATGTAAAAAATAACATGCAAAGGTCCAGAAAAATCAATGCCTACTCCCAACACATGGCATTTCTGCCTGAGTCCCCATTTCTCTGTGTGTTAAAAGGTAGTAGAAAAACATACATCTTTCAGAAAGTCTGAACTTTGTCCTCATTCTGTAGCATTACAAGAAAGAAATCGGAAAACAGACAAACACCATAGATTTGTACAAGAGGAGGCTACTGGAGTTGGGACAGGACAGACATTCCTGATGCAGGAAGAAAGCTTAAGTGTGCTTTGTACTCTGGAGAGAGGGTTCAAGGGAAGTTCAGCAATTTATCCTTGAAATTTGTTTATGGGTTGTGACCACAAATGCCATGGGCCAAATTCTGCCATAAGCAGGTGGAATTTCTTTTCAGCCAAAGCCAAGTTTGGTTCCAAGGAACTCAAAAGAGCTTTAGTGGCAAATCTGAAAGACGTGTGTACTGCAGCTTCTTCTATAGTCTCCGAATTCTCTTGCTGTGCTGATCTAGGGCAACACAAGTTACATCTACAACTGCAAGGTTAGATTATAGGAGTCAACCAACTTTCTGAACAATTATTGTAAACTACTAAGATTTTTCTACAATCATTGGGTTTGAAGAACTACTTGGCTAATCTTGCATGACAGATGCAAAATACCTGGACAACATTTGGCAGCGTTAGGTTAACAGTTGGACTTGACAATTTTAAGGGTCTTTTCCAACCTAAACGATTCTATGAATCTATGATTTTAAGTGGCCTCTGAGACAAAATTATTTATTCTTTTATACTAACTGGGGAAAAAAAGATGCAGAGAAGGATACTTCAGAAGAGAATAGCCTCAAGATGGTATGGTGTAAGTTTTGTACAAGTTCAAGGACTAACATCAACAATGTCCTCACGAGAGGAAATGGGCTTAAGCTGCGCCAGGGGAGGTTTAGGTTGGAAATTAGGAAAAATTTCTTCACAGAAAGGGTGGTCAAGAATTCGAACAGGCTGCCCAGAGAGGTGGTGGAGTCACCATCCCTGGAAGTGTTCAAAAAACGGGTAGATGTGGCACTGTGGGACATGGTTTAGTCTAGTCTACCCTTGATTGGCTTAGAGTAGACTTGGTAGTGTAGGTTAATGGTTGGACTGGATGATCTTAAAGGTCTTTTCCAACCTAAACGATTCTATGATTCTATGAAATGTAAGGAGTCCACAAAAGCACTTGTCTTTGCAATTATTCCAAAAAGCAAAGCCCACACAAACCTAAAGGGTCTAACCTACATGCTTATATGGTGACAGGTGACACAGACACCTCTATTTGTACACCTGCTAGTATTCTACCACAAGCTGTTGCTCCTCTTTGGTTGACCTTACCTCTTCCCTCAGACTGATACAATCACTTTGTCTCTCTCTCACACCCACACTTTGGACTAGGCTTGAACAGCTAACCACATTGGCAGTCAGGAAAATCAGAACCACTTGCCTCAATCTTTGAGCAACTTTTACTTCCGCTTCTTCTCCAAAGCTTTTGTTTAGTTCAGTGAGTATTGAATAAGTGGGTTTTTTTTTTTTTAAAAAAAAAAAAAAAAAGAAAAAAAAGAAAAAAAAGAAAAAAAGAAAAAAAGAAAAAAAAAAAGAGAAACTAAATCATGGTGATTCTTTACTTTACCTAAGGAGGTGAATGCTACAATGTGAAATAACAGCAAGTGGTATTACTTGCATTATGCCTTTGGAGAGAATAATGCAGCAGTAGTAAAAGTGGTTAAGGTAATCCCCTAACATTTAAAAGGCATTTGCCCCATGGGTAAATGAAAATCTGAGAAGTGGATGAACTGTGCAAGTCAGCATAATCTATTTTTATTGCTTACTAAAAAAAACTTACACATTAGTATTCTCAAACCAGATCAGGCCATAAATGCCTAAACACTGTATTAAATGAATAAAATAAAGTATTATAACAATTCATATGATTTTTATAACCCATCATCACCATGCATAAGTATGTATCAGTCCACTGACTTTATTAAAAGCAAGATTCTGGTCTCCCACCTGCTGTTCTATTGGCATAAAAAGATCATACAGAAGAAGCAGATGGGGTGAATAAAAAAAAAAAAGAAAAAGCAGCTCCTATTGCAGGACAAACAACCACTGTAAACAACCACAGGCAACCCCCTCTGATGGAGTTGCCTGAAAGTGCACAGGATGGCTTTGGGATGCAGCACTAGCTCACAGTGTTACTCTTATACCTGACACCAGATGCCCACCTGCGTGTGAGGCAACTTTCATGGCGAAAGAGGCACTATCTTCTTCTACACCATCCATTACCATTGGAAAGAGAAGGTATGCTTTCAGGGAAGCCCTGGACTGCTTGAAATATTGCTTTTTTTCCACAGTTGTATCAGCACAACTTAAAAGTATTCAAGGACAGGCTGCCATTTTAGTCCCTGCAGTGGGAATTTGGACATACAAAAGCTTTTGGGACGCTTGTGCTCCCTATCCTCTTTTTTCCCAGGCCATTCATATTGTAATGATCCTCAGGTGTCCCTCCTGGTTACAAGGCCAAACATGAACAAAGTAAGTAACTTACATTACTTTGGTACCCTTTTCTTATGCCAACTAATTCACATTAGTTAGAAGCATGTGATTTATACTCTCATTGCTCCTTTATTAACTACAAACACGTCATTTTCCATTGCTTGCACAATGTTTGTCTGTGATACAAGCGCTGCCCAGACACAAAGCCAAACATACTACAATGTAGTTCACACCCTTGATGTGTTGTTTCTTTATAAAATGTTAACTTGTCAGAATATTTATACTGTTAACCAAATCTTGATGCTTACACATTTAAAGTCATGACTGCACTCCAGCACAGTTCATTGCTCAGAACTTATGAAGTCACTGGAGTCTTAAAAATTCCGAGCGACCAATTCTGTTGTTCAGTTACAGATCTTAGCAGCCAAAAAATGTTGCCTATTTCATACTACAAATTAATATTTTTAGCTCATCGCTTACATTATTCCAACTCAGAAAAATAAAATTCAGAATTTACTATTGCTACTACTTCTTCCTTACCTTCTCATATCCTCCTTTATGTGCAGATTGATGAGTTCTTTAGGAACATGGAAAGAGAGGGTTGTCTCAGCCATCTGTTCCCGGATCCGCATCCACTTGTTGTCAGCTGTAGGGAATCTATATAACTTACAGATGGGGTTTTTTAACACTGCAGACAGGAGAAATTATATCATTGCTTTACTGTGGTTATATGACTCTTTGAAAATTTATAACAATTTCATCCAAAAACAATACATTATTCCTCCCCCCCTTGCTTCCTGAATTCATTTTAGACCTTAAATTTTTATTTAATTTATTATAGCAGCATACAGAGGACAAAATATTACTAGTGCAGTAGATAAATCACATTTTACCCGCACAGTAGGTATCCTGTGAATTTAGGATTTCACTGTAGTGAGAATGTAAATTGTGCTCTCTATTCTTACACTTAAGATACAGTTAGGAAAAATGGAATGCACAAATAAACAATGAACTCGCATACAGTCAATGCCATCACCTACCATCTGCTAGAATCACTCGCATTGCTAATAAATCACATGGGACAAGTGAAGCATGCCTCAGAGTTTAGCTATATCTCATGCATCTTCTCCATGATATGCACACACAGAAGTCATTAACACAGATAGATGGTGTGTATCTACATTAAAGGGAACTTGACCACTAAGATGGTCAGGAGACTGCCACTACACAGAAATAAATATAACAATCCTGTAAATATGTTACACACACTGTTCTCTGATCACTATTGTAATTTGGCATAGGAAAATCATGTTACTCAGTGTCTTGGAAGGTTATGCTTAAAACGCACCATGGTTTTTTATCTTAAAGTTCTCACATTGGCTACGTTTCCATTCAGATCTTACAATGATGCTCTATAATAAAGGTGGGAAATTTCTATTCTCTCCTTTCCTCCCCACCTCCCACCCCTTCCTTAGCTGATTTTCCAGAAAGAGCAAATGTGGAAAAAGCTGAGAAAGAAAAGTTTTGTTTGACTACATTGGTAAGCTTACTGGGAGACAAATGATTGTCATTTAACACATACATCCACTGCTTCCTCACTCGGAATGACTTTGGACAGCCATCCAAATCCTCCAACAGTACCTTTCTATCAGCCTTCTGGAAAAAGCTGCCTTAGAGCCGGCTCCCATTGATTTGCCACTGAATGGTCTATAACTCAAAGGAATGCATTTCCCATGTGCGCTGCAAGGAAACTGTTGCTGTCAAAACGACATCTACTAATAGAAATTTCAGCTTCACAACTCACTGCCACCATTATTGCCTATGTAGGCTGATTTATAGAGAATGAAAAAAAACACAGACGAAGTTACCAAAGACACAAAAACTGTCTTGTCTATCTAATCAAACTGGTTTTTTTTATAGAAGTCCTTTAGGAAAGGCCTAAAACAAGACCACAGATGCAAACGTATCTGCAATAAAACAGCTGTTGGCAACTCAAAGAAAGGAATGTTGTAAATAATCATGTTTAAGTCATCGCAGATGTATTGTTTTCTATTCCCATCGCTCTACTGAGATCTCTCTAATCATTAGTCTTCGATGAGAAACTAGAAGCCTTTTTAGAGTCATTTTGCCTTTATTTATTAGTGATTTTACTTACAAAAACAAAATTCTCACTTACTGTTATGAAATAAGCCTAATAGATGCTTGATAGCTATAGCATATGAATAACAGCAATTTTTGTTTACTACTAACACTCAAAATACCTCGATGTTCAAGCATCTTTATACACATTTTACAGCTTGAGAATCCTCACCACACAGACTTAACTATCGTCCACTACAAAAAAATAGCATCTCCACATCCTGCACCTATGATCAACCTACACCCAGTGCCTGGGCTTTATTATATTACTTGATTAAAATACGCTGTGATGCTTTCTTATTTTCCTCCTCTTTTGCTGAGATTCTTCTAATTAGCAAAATCAGTTTTGTCAGTAATATTGACAGCCTCTGTCAATCCACAAAGTAGACATATGGCACCCACCACCTTCCATTAACAAGACAGGGAATGACAATCTTCAGATGTCAGGGAGAGCTCAAGTAACTAAGGGCTAATTCAGGTCTACCCTTAAACAGAAACCTGCCAAAACAGATGCTAATTTGGGGTTGGGTTTTTTTGTTGTTGGTTTTGGGGTTTTTTCCTGTAGAGCCACATGTTCATGAGGAAGCAGGCTGATACTTTTTACCAGGGCATTTCAAACAATGATGCCCCAGACAGAAAAGGCTCTTTTCTCTATTTTATCTTTTCATATCTACTTCCTAAGAAGTTATCAGAGGATATTTTTCCAAGAACAGCCCTTAAATTTGCACTCAGAATCTATTACATTTAAAAATCCACATTTGTCTGTGAGAACCTAATGCACATATGTAGCTCCACAGTCTCTTTCCTCCCATGTCCCCACTATCACCACCACCATCACGGGAAAAAAACAAAACCAAACAAAAAACCCACCATGACTGCAGCATGATAGCAAGTAAACTAGGAATCACTTTGAAAATGTGGATCCAAAAGTTTTGACTTTTACCATTATTAGAATTATTGAACTACTCTTCAGGTACTATCTCCAACTCTGAATTTTCAGACAGGGATAATCTCAAGTGTGCTGCAAGTTTTAAAAAAATTTCCAAAACAGCTCTCCATGGATTTATGAAGAAAGTTTCATTTACAAACTCAGAAAAAAGCCTGGGAATTTTGTTTTCACATGCAATCCAAGTAATTCCCATTTGCAGTAGTGCTAAAGCTTGATATTGTCAATAAGAGCTGCACGATACTTTATATTTTTCTTATAAACAGAACTACTAAAGTAATGTGACTCCATAAAAATTTCAGATGCATTTTCCTTTCCAATTACAACAAGAATTGCTTTCTAATTACAACAAGTTGTCTAAAAAAGAAATCCAGAAGGTATGTAAAACCACCCAAACAGTAAGAATGGCAAGACGAGATTTGGCCTTTATAAAAAGTCATTATTAAAATGAGTGGAAGTTTCATAAAGGTAATCCTTCCTGTATTTAGACAGTGATCATGAAAGGCATTGAAAAAAAAAAATCCAGATGAACTGCAGTGGTTAAAAAGAAAAAAAACTATTTTAAAAGCCTTTTTCTATAGCATGAAGCCTAAAAGCCAATGCCATATATTTAACAATCCATATATTTGGACATTCTTCTTCTTAAATTTAAAGACCTTTGTGCTTTTTATTCCATGCAATATCCTTTACACTGCTTCCCCTGCAAGTAAAATAAAAAATTAATAAAATATTGAATAATCTGTTTTCATTTTTGTTCCCTATCAAACATAGATCAAAGCATACCGCTGCCATATACTAATTTACTAACAGTGTTTCTATTTATGCTTTCCTTTGTAGCATAGGTGGTATTCTTCTCAGGCAGAATAATTTCAACTTTCTTAATTTTTGCTTAATTTCACTTACTTTTATTCTCTCTTTTATTGTAAAGCGCAACATGTTTACATGCAAACAATTGGCAAACTCTCCAGTGTTATAAATAAATAACTGAATTTTGAGACACATAAATTCAATCTCTTGGGGTATAAATGGAATAGTGATAAGCCTCTGCGAAATATGAAGCTCATTCCCACTCACTCAATAAGTGCCTCATAACTCACTTGAGGGCTGCGAGTTCCTTATATTAAGATTTAAATTTCAGAAGAATGCCATGTGCATCTATGCCTACAGGCTTAAAGATTCACGTAGAGGTATTATTTCAGTTTCATAGTTTTGAAGGCCTGATAAACAACATGAGACAGAAAGAACCAGAAATCTTTACAACAGTATACACATGTACTAAATACCTATGTATATGGAATATATACTGTACTGCAGATAGTTCTGTATGTACACAGCAGGGAAAGTAGTGCAGGCAATGTTCATGTTGTCAGGTTGCCTGTAATACACTTCTACCACGTTACTGATATTGCTCCTTTCCCTTCAGTCCTTGTTTTTGATTGCCTCTAATTTTGCCACACTGCAAATTTGTCAGGCTTAAACCGACTGTTTTTTGAAATTTTCGGTTAAGATGGTCCAGCTACACAGAATGAGGCCAGAAATCTGCAATAGAAAGTTCTGTGCTTTAAAAACTTGAATTTTGACTAAATCTTTCACAGAGAGGTGCATTTTACCATATCCACAGCAATCTACCCAGATCTGACAACGACATAAGCCTTGGGAAAGAAATCTCAGTATGTGAAAACTCAAACCTTGAACTTAACACCTCATACATGCACCAAGGGTCTACCCTTACTGAAAATTCTTGCATCCTTCCCAGCTTCTAATACCAACAAAACTGTGCACAACGTCATTCATACAGAGTGGATGAATACGTTTTTGGGCACAGCTAGTGTGTGGCACAATACGCTTAAGGGCAGCACTGGTACCCATATGAGAAAGCCAGTCCCCAGACAACACAGAGAGCTTTGATCCATGTGAAGCCCAGTCATGGAGAAATGCTGGGAAAGAAGTCTCACTGGTTGAGCAAAGAGGCAGAAAGTATAAAAGGAGAGCTAAAATTTTCTAAGAAAAGAAATTGGGAATTCAATAAAAAAAAGTGGGACTGACAAAACCTGGAAGTGGTGCCCGTTGTCAGCAGGGAAGTGGATGCAATGCTGGGATGAGAAGAGGAAGTCACAGGTACAGGAAACAGACTGAAGAATAAGTACTTATTAGAGAAAATCCTGTGACTGAAAACTCTTTCCAGTGTCCTGCTTGCTGTCATTACTTGTATACACATCTGCAGTTCTGTTCTTTCCCCTCAACTCTTTTCAAAATCAAAAAATGACAAAAAAACCCTCCACAGTATATTTGACTTCATAAAACCTAGCGGTGTTGGGTAGGGTGAGGGTTTTGGTTTTCTGTTGTGTGTTTGTATATGAGAGCAATAAATATAGATATGTTAAGCGCTGTCTAGATACACTGTAGAATCACGTGCAAATATTCATGACAAAGTGATTAAACTTCATTATTCGTAAAACTGACGTCTACCCTGGAAATTCCAACAGTCCCAACAAAATACATTCCCCAAAGTACAGCATTTCCCCATCAAAAAAACCCTAACAATAAACCCCAATCAAACCCACTCAATGGTGGCAGCAAGTTGAAAAGAATCAGTTGGGAATGAGTAACATTTTCTCTGAACAGAAGTGTCATTTCTTTAAGACCCACTTCCCTGGATGACATACAGAATCAGAATCAAAGAATGGCCGCACTGAGTTAGACCAAATTGTTCAACTGGCTCTGTATCTTGCCTCCAAGAAGAGCCGTAAATAGATACCTAGAGATGCAAGATACTCTCCCTGCCTCCAGCTATTTTCAGTTCAGGAATTTCTGGAGCCAGAGGTAGTTCCTGCACGTTTAGTAATTCTCAGTGAATATCTTTTCCATAAACATATCTAGTCTCACATTGAACCAATGAAAAGAAATAGCAGTTCTGAAGGAAAAAAAATTTTCCCTGCTTCTGATCTAGTCTCAACAAATCACAGAAAAAAAAATTACAGCATTCATACATACATGGAAAAAACTATGTTTTGGAGGTTTCTAGTGCTTTCTTCAGACTGCAAAGCTAGTCTAATAAGTCTCCTGTCCTATCAGTGAAGTCGTATGAAAAAGTTTCAGTAAACGTTTTAAAAGGTTTCAAAACTTCAGTAATATTTCTCTTCAACTGTATGCAGCAAATACACAGAATTCTTGACAGTGCTGTGGTTTCAGATGACCCATATAACTTATTTGTGACATTGTTACAGCAGAGTAATGGAGATTCATAAACTTGGGCTAATAAAACTTTTATGGTGCAGCATATCAGCATATAATATTTCTCAGTATAATGAAACAGAAATAGATCTATTCAACACTGTACACGCAAGCCCAGAGTTGACCTAGAATTGAGAATGCCTTGCCAACAGCTTCCTTCATTTTAGGACATATAGCTTCCAGACCAGACTGAAATGGCCACTTCATCAGCTATGAGAGAGATTAACTCTCCAGGGTATTCAGTTGCAAATAATGCATAATTACTTTAACAGAATGTCATGCAACGACATGACAAAAACTTATGAGGTTAATTCCATGCCCGCTGAAGTCACTGTTCAATGATTTTCAAGACTGTCAGTAAAGATGTAGGAATGGGATATTTTAGCACTGTTTCAGAAAGCATAATTGACATTTCTGAAAGTTTTCCTCACGTTTCTCAGTAAAATGATACCGTCAAATATGTATAAAACTTTAAAATATTAAACATAAAAATTGGTGCATCATTTGAAGGGCCTTTTAAGAGCTCTGCCCCAAATCTCTGCGGTTTCTTCAGGATCTGATACAGCGCTGCAACAGTCATCTTTTATGGGTGTCAGAATACTTACCTGCATTTAATGAAGGCAAGTTGTCTTTACCACTTAAGCCTTCAGTGGCTGTACATTCACGAACCAATGCACACTGCAGAAGAAATGCAACGACAAATGTAACATGTTCAGGTGTTATAAGGAGATTCATATCAGTTTATAAATGGCAGACTGAAAAACATCATTGATAATGTAACTTCCCAGCCCTTAATTATAATTTACATTTTTATCTTTATATTTCTGTTTCAATATATTGTAACACAATCAGAATTATTGCAGAGAAAATAGCAAAATATGATCAGCTATTCCATAATAAAAACAGGTTTCCTACCAATACAATTACAGAAGTTAAAATAATTTTTGACAAGCTCTGTGCTTTCAGAGACATTTCTTTTGACAAGGCAGTTTTCACATGCACAGTGTCAGAAAGCACTCCATGAATTTTTAAACAAGGGAAAATTAGGACCCACAAAAAGTCTTTAAAATGTGCTCGCAGCTTGTGATTAAAGTAATTTGTTATACAAGTGAATTGGAAGATTTCTTTGATAAGATTAGCATATAAAAGTATAAAAAGTTTATGGAAATATCCACCAGTGTAAACCTATGTTATATGTACTAGGATATATATATTTTTAATGCTCCTCCTCCCCTCAGTCAGAGAAAAAAAAAAAAAACAGATAGCCTCTAAAGGTGATAGGGAGCTCTGTTCCAGGGCTTCCCCAGTTTTCGGATGCTCTGTTGCAGAGCCCAAAGCAGAGCAAGACATTACGTACTCTCTACCAGTTGATATCTCAGACTGAATTTAACTGTCACCTCACTCTTCCATGAGAAATTCCCTGCACATAGTTTGTCTAATGAGTTAGAAAACCTAACTCAGAACTTGTAAACATATAAACATAAGAACATATAAACTAAGACTCCATGATGCAACTAGTCCATAAAACCCAAGGACTCCTTTAAAGAACACAGAAAAGACAGCTGTCCCAAGGTTGGTCTTTCTTGACAAATATTAGAATCCCCTAGAATGATGCTATTAAAACCTTCTGGCTCCCCCAAACTAGACACAGCTCATTAATTACATCTCAAATACTTGTGAGAAGTCTCGTTCCACATTTTGCAATGGAAGAAAAGCTAAACGAAAGAGAAGGCTGAAAAAACAGTTCATGATGCATATCTTGTGGAAGTTTTATAGTACAAAACCAGAAAGATTTCACAGCATTTGTTGGCTTCTTTGGAACTGGTCCCACTGGTCCATTGTTTTAAAAGGGCGTTGAGGTCCTTTGAGAAGAATGGTGAAAAAAGAAGCGTAAAATCTATCCTCAGAGTTTGGCCCAAAATCAGACTGTTTTGGTTGAGCAGAAAAGATATTCAGAACAACGTCCCTTTCTCTAAAAATACATTCTTATATGTTACTTCCAAACAAAAAAAAAAATGCAGTCTTGAATGTTACATTCCCGGTAGCATTACCTGAAGTTATTTTTTTTTCACTAAGAGCAGAATACACCACAGTCTATAGCACTACACCATAATGTTAGGGTTGCAAATATTCTGTCGGTGAGAATGGGACTGCAGAGGCAGAGATACCAGGAGGAGGCAACTCTGTACAGGTACGTCGGTTGCCATCGATCAGTGACCCAGTTAAAGAGACCTTTTCATTAACCACAAATCATTCAAACCCCGATTTCCTTGTTCTGAGCAGTCATTTCTGAATCTCTCCCAAGCCCAAACCTCTTGTCATCATAGACAGCCCATCCGTTCCACCCTCCCTCCTTTGGTTCTCCATTCCTCTCAAATCCACTCCCCCCATATCATCTCCAGCTCCAGTCTCCACCACTTTTGCCTGCAACAGCCTGCCTACTTAAGAGCATTTTTGCTCTTTCCGAGCCCTTCTGTCCTTTCTTTTGCCCCACACCATGAGCACCCCAACTCAGATTTGCTACGTACACCCTCTGGTCAACACTGCCCTATTCTAGCACTCTGAGGTACCAATTTTGCGCCATCCCTCCCGTTGATTTTCCCCACCACTGTGTGCTCCCATGAAATGCAGCTGAACCTGCCCCTTTGCAAGGGGATTCACCTCTTCTTTGGCTTGCCTGTCTGTCATTCTTTCCAGGTTGTCAGTATTGTGGGCACAGGTTGCACATAAAAATCCACGTGAACAGGACTTCAAGGGCAGAAAACAGAGGAACTGTCCAAGGGAAAAAGAAGTCAGATTTATGGCGTCTCTATGGACAGTTTTTGATCAGGAGTGATTAAATATGGTCAGTTGAGGTCAAAATCAGCTCTTTTTTTCCTAAGAAGGGGAGGGACTAGGAAACTGAGGACAGAGTATTACTCTACATTTTCATGAAAAACTATTTATAGTTTAGGGAGATTAAGTGTACATAGTACTTCATTCCAGAAATTTTTGATTAAGCCCTTAACCCGATTTGGAATTAGTAATTTAGGCATTTGGTACAGCTGATCATTCCAATTAAATTAGTGCAATGAACTGAGTTTCTACCTTTTGATCGTGGGAGTCTGTTGTGATGTGGTCTGTTTCTCCATCTTCTAGCTCTCCCATCTTCACAAGATTGACTTCAATGGTACCAACTGTCTTTCCACCATCAGAAGTCCTGGGAAAAAACCCATGACATTGGGTCACTTGCAGCATCACATTCCTTCAGTAAAAATATTGCCAGTAAACATTTAGCCCCCTCTCCAACCTGTAATGAACTCGTCGTCCACAAGCAAGGGTTAACAATAAGGCATACTGTATTTTCTCCAAATTCTTTATAGCAATGAAAGTTTTCATCATGAAACGGAGGATGGGTAAGTGCTGTAAATGGTGGAAGAACCCACAAACATGGCCAAGTTTTCATTCTAGACATTATTCTGTCTGTGGACCATCAGAGAAAGGGCTGTAACATATTACACCAATACCCCACTGAAGACCTGCAATCTCACTGCAAAGTACACTGCTTTGTTTCCTAACATAATCTGTGAAGAAAGGACATGCTCAATATATTAATAAACCTCCTGTGAAACAAAAATAATGAAACTAATCTGAATACCACTTTTCCTTTTGTAGGCCCTCCACAGAGTAACTAATCAGAATCAGTCCCATTTCTTTAACTATATGGGTGAAGATAATATAGTTCCAGGTGGATTCCTTTATTATCATCTCCGCAAATAGTTTACTTCTAAACAGGCAAAACCAAAGAGCAATTCAGATTTACATCTCCAAATGAAGAGTACTGATCACTACCTTTTGGAAGAAACAAGGGTTTAAACTCCAAAAAGATACTGAATGCTTTTTTAGCTTTCACTGGTAGCAAAACACCAATGTTAATGGCACCATCTATCTCCCCTGGCTTATTCTGAACAGCTGGATTTTAGGAAAAGAAGGAAAGAAAGGTAACAGATCATTTAATGATAATGAGGAAAGTATAGCAAGAGCCACTAAGCAAAAATCGGCAAAAAAAAATGATGAGAACAAGTTTAGCAGAATTGCAAAAGCACAGAGAGAAAGAAGAATGAAAACAAGGGGGTTTGGGGCAATACTGTGTATAATCTCAGAAGCAAAGATGAAGAGTGATGAAGCAGGACAAAGGAATACATAGAAGAGGGACTAGAGGGCTGGGAATAAAAAAGAAAAAATGACTTTCAGAAACAGTAATATTAGAAAAAAAAACACTTTCCATTAAAAACTGGCACATTCCTAGGGCAGGAAAACACCAAAACCCCCTTCAACACAGACACCCTTCCAGAACTTCAAAAAATAGTCCTCACATTACATTAGTAAAGGAAGGAGAAATCCCCCAAACACCCCAAACACTGCCCGGCTGGGGCAGTACGGCTCTTGGAGCCAATTCCCGCGGCCTCTCAGGCGCCGAGAGCCCCGGAGCAGCACTGCGCTGACACGCATGGTCTCCCGCTCCCAGGCCGGGCAAGCCCAGCTCGGCTTTGCCGCGCTGCCTTCCACCATGCACGGGCTTTCCCAGAGCGCTTGCGCATGCCCCAGGCGTGAGGACCCTGTCTCTGCGTTGAGCGCCCACAATTTTACTAATCTGTATTTCTGCATGCAGTATAAGGCCTCAATTAAGTCAGAGTATGCCAGCTTTTTACACCGACTAAAGTTAAGCACATATGTTAGTCTTTTCAGGCATGGATACTTATTTATCATGCTAAATCGAAACTTTCATTTTTTACAGTAACATCTCAAAATATAGCTACCCCCAAGCTTCAAATTTAAATAATTATTTTGGTTGCAAACCATTATGCTTTAATATGCGACTCAGTAAAATACACTCATCTTGCAACTATACAAATGAAATATGTTCTTATATACAGCCTTGCAAAATACACACAATTTTTCATATTTTACATGTGTCACTGCTTCATTTGCTCTAAGCCAAATTCGTAACTGACAATAAAGGAACAATTAAAATGAACAAATTCTAGATAGCCTTGCAACCAAAGAAGCTTACGTTAATTAACAAAATATACAAAAGAAAAGTAATGAGGAAGAAGGGTTCAATGTCCAAAGGATGTTTATGAAAAAAAAAAAAGTAATAATTTTGAAATGCATGAGAACAACGTAAATGTCTTCTGAATGAGGAACATTCCCCTGAGTTGCTACATCTTAGTGGTTTGACTTCACTTGTTTTCTCTTTCCCATGTCAAACCAGCACACAAACTAGGCTATCCCTCAACAAATGGACTACAGCATTGCCAAGGAGGAAGGACGTACAACAGATATTGGCAAATCACATATACCTTTAAAAATCGGAGTAAACCTGTGGCTATAACACTGAAAATTTTTCAACAGCTTAACGTGTCCTGATCAAAGTGTCAAGTGGATGACCTCATTAGCAGGCTGATTAAATATGCAACAGCACTTTGCTGTTATCCTGGTCTGAAAAGAACATGTTGCATTCATTTGACTTACCGAAGTAAAATCTTACCCACCCTTTTTTTTTTTTTAAGGGGACACATTTTTCTAAGGCCAGAGACCTGCAAGTCCGAGACTGAGCTACATAAAACAGATCTGCTTTAAAATTACATCATGATAAATTAAGAGTATAAACAAACCTTGAGCAAAACAGAGATCAATTTGCAAATGAACTGATATAAGCCAACAAGGGGTGTTGCTCGAGTAAAACCAAATAAAAATGGAAATGCCAGTTACGCTTTCTCAGCCCATATCTCCCTTTCTTTAGAACACTAAATACTCCCCCTTGTTGCTGTTGTTAGAGGCTTGGCCTCAGTAGGGCAGCGAGCACTGCATTGCTTGCCTGCACAACTAGCAGTATGTGTTTGGAAGCTTTCTTCATACACATTTTAAAGATATGATCAATCTAATTTCGCTTTATATCAATTTTTTAAATTATTTGCTTCTCAAAATCACTCCTGTTATGGTCTAATACGTAGGTAATATTACAATCTGAAACATGCAGTATCTGCAAGAGAAGGTAGTGCAACAGAATAAAACTAAACAGTGGGACTGTTGCATTGCAGTTGTACCCCTTCCTCCATTTCTCTTATCTTTCCACATGGAAATATGAAAACACAATTTAAAAAACCAAAAAACCCCGAAGGTCTTTTGAATGCTACAGGCACACAAATCAACAAAGAACTCTATAAACGTCCAGGGAGAAACCTTATTAGCTGTGTCAGACACTGTGACTTTAAAATGCCACTGGTGCATAACAGTCTTCAAACAACAGTTCTGTCATGCACTTACAACTTTCAAGCAACATCATGAGATTAAAATTTTACTTGAAAGAAAATTAAAAGCGAGAAACAGAAGTGATGCAGTGGGAAAAATAAAAAAAGCCTAGCGATCACACTTCAATAAGATAAAAATTTATATTATCATAGAATGATAGAACACTTCGGGTTGGAAGGGACCTTTAGAGGTCATCCAGCCCAACCCCCCTGCAGTGAGCAAGGACATCTCTAACCAGATCAGGTTGAGCTGAATGTTGAATTCCCTTGAATGTTTCTAGGGATGGAGCCTTCACTACTTCTCTGGGCAACCCATTCCAGTGCTTTACCACCCTCACTGTAAAAAATTTCTTCCTTATATCCAGTCTAAATCTATCCTCCTTTGGTTTAAAACCATTACTCCTTGTTCTGTCACAACAGGCCTATATTATATTATTTTATTATTATATTATTTTACTTTGCGCTAACAGAAACAGTATTGCATGCACACACACGCGTATGTGTATACACTTCATGCCATTTGCCTGGACAGACAGGAAGAGACAATCTCACACATACACACTGTTCAACAGAGCACCAGGAGAATAATTCATTGGCTTTGGGATACTTCAAAATGCATTAGGATAGAATCAGTTCATTTGCTGTAGTTTAACAAAGCCGAAAAGCACACTCTGCACTCACATGGTGCAGCGAAGACTCTCCCCGCATCAAATTGCTTACAGTCACGAGACAAGAGATACTATAGACCCACAGGACAAAGGACTGCACCTTGACCAACCTGCATAGGGACAGTGGGGATGGGGAATACAGCAATAAGAATAAAAAAAAGTGTCAATGTGAAGAAGCCCATATATGGTTCAAACTTTAGCTGGCTTATGGAGTCAGAAAATTGCTGGGGTTTTTTAGCAGCCTGGGACAAGGAGCACCCACCGGGTGATACCTGTCCACAGAGCATCTGGATTTGGAATATGACCAATGAAAAGGAGACAAGGTCTTAGAAGACTGATTTCTAAACCAGATCTATAATCCAGTGTCATAGGATGCAGGCTTTGGCAGCAAAGCTGGCAATGTTTCAGTCTATCCCTAACTATTCAGTCCAACGTGGCTGCACACTGCAGGGCTCACTCCACCTCCCACAGCCATAACCCTGTGGCAGTCCCCACTCACCTAAGCTGAGTCACCAAGGACCCATCTGCTGATGAACCTTGCAGAGGTGATTCTGAGTAAAACAGTATGTTTTGAACTTTAAAAAAAAAAAATACTTCTATCAGTGTTAAAAGCAACACTGTTGTTCTACTCGCTGAGGGAAACTTGGGAGACTTTTGAAGCCATCATGAAATCTGCTCAGGCTTAAACCCACAATTACTTAATAATACCTCTAATATTAATTTAAAAATTATTATACATATGGATTTCCTTACCATCCCATATCCTTAAGGATCACCACATCAGTATCAGTTACCTCCAATGTGAGGGAAGGAGCTAGCCAGCACCATCATGAGCAGCAAGAATATGTGGCTACCTTAATACTTCTGGCGATAAAAGGTTGACCCAGACATCCAGAGAGAAAGAAGGTAACAAGCTAGTGGTGGAAAAGCAAGTGAGCTAGATGGTCTGAGAATAGCAGCCATTTGCCTCCAGTGCTGTTCTCATCAAAGTCTCATTGCAGCATGTTGAATATGCAAATGTAGGCCTCTAATTGGTTCCCATGGCCATACCTTTCTTCCCAAAAAAAAGAAGAAAAAAAAAGGCTCAAGAACACAAAGAAAAAGAGAAGCAGACTGTGTATTTGCATAGCTGTGTTAATTATAAATGACAAAGTGAGTGACTGCCTGAAAAGCAAACTGCATGACTTTCAGTCTAGCAGGCAGCCCCTTTCTCCAATGCAAAATACACAATAAATGCGATTAGTACAGACTAGCATACAGATTGTCATAAAACAATTTTCTCCACTGATGAAGTATGTTTTGAAATATGCAAGCACAAAACTATTGTACTTGCATAGAAATGTTTATTCTGTGAATTCAGTGAAGCCTATTGCAATCAATACCCTTTTTAAACAAGTCCACTGGTAAATAACATTCCATTGCATTCTAAGGTAAATAAACAAAGTTTTGTGCTGTTCAATTCCTTCTCAGCTTTCATGATTTCAATGTACTGTTGATTAAGCTTCATGTCAAAACAAGTTTCACCTCAACTGTGTGGGAGATTTGCTTGGCTTCTAAAGGCAAGCCATTGTTCACCTGCTTCCTGGGGCTGATGACATGACATGAAGCAGCCAAGAAACAATTTCGGGATGGAGACCAAGTAAAACTAGTTGCAGGCAGACTTGTACTGAATTTTAATAGGGAAAAGGAGCTAAATATGTAGTATTTTACAGTCATCACTTGCTAAGGAAGTTATATGTACCTAAACGACTGCTGCTTTCAAATTCTCTCTAGTTAGTTAAACACTGTGAATGTAACTACTACTGAAGTGCAGTTCCAGATCTTCTGGCCCACTGAACTACAAGGTGCCTGGAGAACAGTGTTAGGAGGGAGGGAAGTTGGGGGGGACTTTCTTTAATGGAGTCTTGGAGTTATTTTTTTGAACTTTCCAAACATAACTATGGTTTTGTTGTGGTTTAGCCCCAGCCAGCAACTAAGCACC